GGTACATATATGCATAAACTCAGACTCCCAATGACTGGAGGCCAGGGAGGAGGGAATTCTGTCAAAGTACACATGAATAGCGATCGCTAGGAATAATGTAACAGACGCTAACAACACTCACCTGTCACGGTCCTGGAGCTTCCACGAGAGGCATTATGGGAGGGTAACCGATAGGGAGGATAGGTACTTAGAACCGAATTCCTCGTGAGGTTAGATATAGCAAGTTCGCACACAGTGCTTAAAATAAACAACCACACCTACATCATGGTCTATTAGAGAGCAATCGTAGGGAGGAAAACCAACTCACAACCCACCATAATCTCCGGAGAGAATCGAAGGAGTTAGATCACACAACAGCGGATATATCAATAAACACAATTGAAAGAAGCGCCAACTAACCAGATAACCAAGACTCACTCGTCAGGGTGACAGGACACCGTCCACTGGAGAGAACAGAACGGCTAAAACGCCGCACGCATCACGCGGAATGTGTATCGAGCTGATAGTGCCTGATAAAAGTGCTAGGCCTGCTCCAAATAGCGCAGAGCATATCTCTTCAATGGGTAGTGCCGATGCAAAAGCTTTTGACGGGCTACTGCCCTGACCGAAAGTGAGCCTTCAACTTCCTTCTGCTGTCACCAACCGCTCAGACGGTTTCGAAGTTGCCTTGCTGAATACCTCTTGTATAAAGAATAATGTCTGAGACTTCAACTCATTAAAACATTGATACAACTGTCACAAGACATTTTCAGCCGCAGAAAATGCATATATGTACCCCAAGGACGATCTTTCTGAAAAAGAATGATGAAAAACATCATGCTGCAGAGTCCAAAATTGTTCCAGGAGACAAGTTGTTGCTTAAAAGGGAACACATGAGTAAGGTAGACACACCTTATTTCCCAACACCAGTTGAAGTTGTTTCTAAGGCAGCAAACATGGTGACTGTGCAAAGTGAGGATGGTGCTCAGTATAGACGTAATACTTCGCAAGTGAAACCATATCAGTCACAGCTGAACAATCTGACAGAACCAACCAGTGCACTAGTTGATGACAATAAAGCTAGCCAATCAGAGACTGTGGATATTGATCAGTGTCTTAGGAGGTCTGACAGACAGAAGTCTGTTCCAAAGAAGTTTGATGACTTTGTTATGCTTGACTGATTGGGGATCTGATTGCTTAACCATTGTTAAGTTGATAGTTTTTACTGTTTCAGCATAGACTGAGGGTTCAGTTTCATGGACATAAGTATTCATGTTGTTTTGACTTGGTTCAGTAGTTCGCAGCATTTAGTTTCAGTTCTGATTATGTTGATAATGACTGAGACACGAGAACTGGAGTTCATAAAGCAGAGTATTGGGGATATGCTTAGTTATTTGGCTCAAGTTGTCCAGACTTCATGATTCTGCAGAAATGTCAGTTTATGTTATATTTGTTTAAGCAATAAGGTAGCAGTAATTACTGCATTTCTCTGATGGGGGAGGGATGTCGTGTCGGTATTGTCAGATGCGGAATATTTCGTTTCGCTCATGAGTATGTGTTTTGTAAAAACAGATGACAGCATGTAAAACAATGGAGCATGATGAAAACCGAAACTGGTGTGTGGTAAATAAGATTGCAGATGTATCTGAATTGTATTACTGCAAAATAACACACTTCTCTTCAAATATATAGTAATATGAGAAGACACAAACCGGGTTCTGAAGAAACTATCCAAAAGGAAAACTACAAAAGAAAAAAAAAAACTGTGTAAAATTGCAAGTTTAATCACGGAAAAAATCGCATGGCCTGTCAGGCAGTAATGTGAAGGTACGTGAAGTCAGCACTTTCCGGGTCACGTGGGCGCAGTGCAATGGCAATATGGCAGTTCGCTTAGTTGGAAGAACTTTCTTCGATGTTTCCATCGCACAGCTTCATCTTGTCATAGGAAAGCAGTAAATGAATTAAGGAGTAATGCAGGAAAAGGTAAAAAATCTAATATTTTGGAGGAGCACAAAATGAGATCATTCTGACAGGTATGAGGAAAACCATTTTAGAACAGAGCCGACTAATCCAAACAGTTTTGTAGACAATCAAGAAGCTGTTTGTGATCTAGCTGCATCGAACGCCGCCAATAAATCAAGAAGGACAAGTACACAAGCCTGGCCAGCCTACTGCTCCCAGAGTGTCCATTACATGAAGTAAAGTTGTCTCAGTGTTGTGATTGTCTCGATAAGCTGACTGGAACTCATCATATAGACTGTGGTCTTCAAACGAGCAATAAGGCGGGTCTTCACAGCCTTTCCAGCACCTTGGACACAAAGGATAGATTTGAGATGGGTCTATAATTGGCCAAATCATCAGTGTCAAGGCTGGGTTTCTTCAATAAAGGCTTCACAGCAGCTTGCTTCAGGCATTCTGGAACGGTCCTAAGACCAAGCTGAGGTTTGTGATCTGTGTAATGAATGGAAGGAGAATATCCCAAAACAGGATTGGATCCATCACACAGAAGGTTGGTTTCTGAAGCTACTACCAGTTTCTTTACCTCTTTCTCACTGAATAATGCCAAATTTGTCAAGATACATATCTGAGGCTGCAATGTCGCCTTGTAGAGATTCAGACAGTTCACACCTGTCAAGATCTTTGCTATCTTCTACGATGTAATTGCTAAAATCCTCCGAAGAGATGACTAGCATTGGGCATTGTCAAAATTTTCAGATGATTGCGATATATTGCGATATGTGTTGGCGTATTGCAATGTGTATTGCAATATATCATGAAAGTGTAACACATGGGTTAAGGTAATGAAATTACTATTTCCTTGCTTTGGAAACGATGCCAGTGGCCACTCTCAGGACTCAGATGTGATCGTACAAGAGATCAATTGAAAATGTTTCTAAATTAAAGACTTAACTCTAAAGTTTCGAACTCGAGGAAAAGCATCCGCAGTGGTGTCCGCCATTTTGGTTTGTTTATCCTTACAACGAGTGCCGGTGTTGCAGCCATGCTGATATATCATCAAGGTTAGATTTCCTGAACCAAATGTCAATGAGTACATCACTAATTCGGGAATTTCACGAGATGGAGTGTGGGCAACAGATGCAGAAGTTATGTCAACAGCCAGTCTGTTAAAATGTGCCATTTATATTTACAGTGCAGTTGGTCAGTCAATGCAATGGCTGCCAGCTGCAGCATGAAAACTCACACTTATTATGCTTTGTATCTGGAAAATGTATCGGACCATTTCAATGTTGTAACCAGTGTTTAATTGTGTGAGAAGTACAATAAAATTTTAGTAGTATCCTTAATCACTTGTTTTCTGTAGGGGTATAATCTGGGCTAGGGGGGTATACTATAGCCTAGTTCAGAATATACCCCCAGGGTATAAACTAGGCTAGCCCAAATACAGTGTACTCTGTCAATACCGCATCAGTCGGGACCAAGTAAAATGCCGGTTTTGACAGAGTGCCGGTTTAGCTAGGTTCGCTTATGACGCCAAGCATTACGGAAGTTCTCTGTCGTGACTGTCACGCTAGCATTAACAAGATGTTTGAATAAGAAACAAGGCAGTGTCTGAATGCACATTCATGTTGTTTAAATCAAATAAAAATGTCTGAAATCTCTTATTAAATTTCAACTGATCATATATTATCGGCAGAATTAAAATTATAAACTATTTTTCGCGAATGTTATTGCAAACAACGATTCTTGTTTATGCTTCGCAGCTGGTCTACAATAGCATTGTCAAAGAGCAAAGTAACGATGTTTCAAACATCGAGGAAATCATTAAATAAATTGAAATCAACAATAACATTCATAAAAGTTGTCAAACGCATATATATAAAATTACTATTTCCATTCTTTGAGCGATCATGCAATGTAAGTCAAGTCACTGACAAGTTACATCTCGGCTTTCACACGATGCTTAATGTGAAAATATATGCTGAAGCATTTTGTCATAGGCCATAACCTAGCACGATATGTCCAATACGCTCCATGATTTACGATAGGTAGCGATGTCTTTCTTAATATGTTCAGAATAGCATTATTTACCCAAAAACTTTTGTCTTAATCTAAAACTTTTCGCTTACTTAGGACGGTATCCATTTCCATAATATGATTGGCTGCTTAGGTCACGGTCTGATTTTGACCAATCACGACCCTTATAAGCAGAGTGTAGTGAAAAAGCCGCCGTTAGAAACCAATCTTTATCCAATAAAATCGCTTCTTACAAATGTGAAAATACTCTCGCAAGAGTACAGTGATATTGTTGATGTTCAGAGCTTTCAACGATACACGCCATCAAACGATTCGCCTCTCTATGTAAGTGACACGTACACTCACTAATTAACACGAAACTGATTGACACTTCCCGCTTCTGAATAATCTCGAGTCAATACCCGCTAATCAACAACATGTAAACACTTGCTTGTTTATACAGTCAAACTGCCCACTATATGTATTAATTACTCTGGGTAAGTGTTACGCACCACTCACTGATTAACAAGATACTGATTAACACTTCCCGCTTCTGAATAATCTCGAGTCAGAGCCAATTGTGTTGTTACATCATTTGGACCTAATTGCATCAAAGGGTTACGCCGCCTTTCAGGTGCCGGTTTTACAGATTCGCTTTCATAACAACTTGTTCGCTGGGACTGAAAAACAATGCCGATATCCTGAATAGACAGATGCCGATGTTTACAGAAGTTTCTAAATGATAATAACGCATTTCTGCCGGACTGAAACTTTGTGCCGATGTAGACAGAGTGCCGGTGTTAAGAGAGGCCGGTATTGACAGAGTCCACTGTATCAAGGGTTCATAAGTTCAAAAGACTGAAATGTGAAAAGGGGATCAGAACTTTCACATTCAAGTTGGATCTATATATGATGCCTATTTCACCACCCTTTCTATGCTGTCTAGGTAGATGCATAAATGAATAAGCCTACAGACTACAAGACAACATTCAACAGTGCAGGAAATGGGCTTATCAGTGACTTCAGTGGTGGTCATAAGATCTTACTTTTCAAGCCGTTGCACTTCTGACTTCAGATCAGCAATCACTGTCATGTCGTGGTGAAGGTCAAGACTGTTTTCAATCAGCTCCAGTTTGGCTTTCTCATCTGACCCCTGCTCCGAAGAAGCGACAGACACCACCACGAACTGACATCCTTCAGGAAACACAGCCTCTTTGTCCTGGGGGACCAGCAAGCACAGAGTCAATATACATCAACAAGTGGAGGGCATTGATAGGTGGTGTGGAGGGTGGGTAGTTGGTGTAGAAACTAAAGGCGGATACTCAGGGCTAATACTGGCAGGTAGAGAGTGTAACTGAAAGATTTAATTTTTATAGATAGTGACTGTAACTGGATTGGATTGCGATCCACATTTTTATGACCAAGGGGCAAGGGAGGTAACTCCAAAAGTGGGAACTGCGGTTTTGCCATGTGCTTCGCGGTGGTGAAGTTGACAACAAGATGTGTAGACAGTTTGATGGGTTTACAAATTTTGTAAGTATAATTTTGTAGTTACAAATCATGTAGTACGCAACATATATGTATTACAGTTACATAATACACTTAAACATGTTAAATTAAGCCATAAATGTGCAGTTATTTCCAGGTTAGGAACACGTGGGTTGGCCTAAAATAGTGTCACGTTTTATGTTATTTTGACTGTTATAAGTGAACAGTATCCTCATGTTTTGGGTTTTTGGAAGTGTAGGAATTTCTGTTGTTCTTGCAGAAACAATTTCACACCTTGTCATGACTTTATCAATCACAATTTTCCATGTTTAACGTGTTGCATTACACAAGTATTTGTAATGTTTGTTTCTGGCAACTAAAGCCAAAGTAAGTGTATTTCATTCACAAAAACATAATCCGAGGATACTTTATTTACCGAGTAACATTTATTCTGTAACTTGGAGGAATATTTTTCAGTGGTATTTAGTACTGTGAAGTTAGTAGAAAACATTTCCATCATGTTTTAGCTTGAACCGACAACCGACAATATGGAGGAATGCAAGAAGCAATGAACACTGCGGTGTATATAATCATGATAAAAAGGAAGTAAAACGTCGTGTACAAGAATGAACAAACCTTGTTGTTATGTCTACAACAAAAGTTCAAGAAAATTTGAACTAACATAGTTATCGAGAGATACAGAAGTTATTGTCAAGATGTCTTTGAATGACTCATACAAGTCAGATGTCACTGATGGTGAATTAGATAAAGATGAGAGAGAAACAGACAGAAACAGAAAATATGATATGAATGTAAAAAATACAACTGTAAATCCAGAAGATTCTGTTAGTCAGGTTTCTGCATCAAGTCAACTTTCCCGCAAAATCATTGATTGCTAGAGTTGCTGCTAAGAAGGCTGCACTAGGTGTTCGTGCTGATGCATTGAGAAGAACACAAGAGCTTAAACGCCGTCAAATGGAGCTTGAAGAATTACAAGAAACACTCAAATTGGAGACAGATATTGCAGCGATAGAAGCTGAAGAGTGTGTATATATGGCAGCCTATGGAAGTGATACTTTGTCAACAGGTAAACGTCGTATGTTACCTCATGAAATGCAACAGGGGTTTCAACGCACACCTGAAAGGACTGATACTTTGGAGGAGAAGGTAGAAAATGGTAATCAGCCACCAAATCCTAATGATAATGAGGCTTCAGATGAGAAGACGGATTCAGATAGATGGAGTCATGCAGCATTATTAAATGTAATTCATGAACAAGATCAGCAGATAAGAGCTCTCCAGCTGCAGCAGCAAAACAGTGTTTCATCTCATGTAGATGTTTTACCAAGGTATGAGATTACAGATCGTTTGGATAAAGTGGACCGTGTCGATAAGCATGATGAGTCAGATAGTCATCACAGTGATAGCCAATTTCTATCGATGCAGAAGCAAATGCTCAACTTACTTCAGTTACCTAAAACAGAGCTAATGACATTTGATGGAGATCCATTGAAATACTGGATGTTTGTACGTTCCTTCGAGAACAGTTTTGGAGATGCATATGTCAATAATAGTGTCAAGTTGAATCGCCTGCTACAGTATTGCACTGGGAAGGCTTTGTCAGTCATTGAATGTTGTGCAGTAATGGAACCCAAAGCTGGGTACTTGGAAGCAAGGAGACTTTTAAGTGAGCGTTTTGGAAATCAGTTTGTCATATCAAAGGCCTGGATACAGAAGGTTACTGAGAGACCCTGTTTGAGATATGGAGACAGTGCAGAACTGCGACGATATGCAGACAACATCAGGAGTTGTGTTGTCACTTTAACAACCATGGGTCGCCTCAATGAAATTGATAATCAGATGCGGATGGGAAAGATAGTGGAAAAGTTACCACCTTTTCTTCAAGGAAGATGGCAGAGAGAAGCTGTTGGTGTTCTGAAGGCAACTGGCTATTACCCTGACATTGCTCACCTGGCTGGATTCATAGAGACTGCTGCGGAGGAGGCGAATGATCCTGTGTTCGGAACAATCAACTTTTCTAGAGATGTCAAAATGAATACAAAGTTGAATTCGAAGAGGAATTCTGCATCTAACTTTAATATTCAAACCAAAGCTGGCTACAAAGGATATGGAGGGCAAACACAGTTTGGAAGAAAGAAATTACCTGCTTGCAAGTATTGTACTGGTGACCATGCCATATACACTTGTACACAGTTCAAACAGATGAGTCCAGAAAAACGGCGTGAGTTTGTTACCGAGAAACATTTGTGCTATAACTGTTTTTCCAATCAACATATGTCATACAACTGTTTACATCCAAGCAAATGTGGTGTGGATGGATGTAAACGTAAGCATTCAAGACTTTTGCACTTTACAGGAAGCCAGTGGAGTCGGGCTAATGATGCTGAAAAGAAATATCAGGAAATATCTACACAAACAACAGTCCAGTCTCTTCACAATTCAGTGTGTGGGGTTAATGGGGCCGGGATGAGCAGGATAGCTCTTCCCATTGTACCAGTTACCATTAAAGGTTGTGAAAGTAACTGCATCAGGACTTATGCCTTACTTGACCCAGGAAGCACAAATTCTTTCTGTACACAGGACATAGTTAAACAACTTGGCCTTCAAGGTAGTAGAACAACTTTATCACTGACCACACTCACTAGTGATAACTCAAAATCTGACACTACTATGGTAAATTTGGATGTTGCTGACTTGAGTGGTAAGCACTGGATAAAGATGCATCATGTTTTTGTGATTCCTGAAATTCCAGTTTTTTCAAACAGTATGGCATCTCAAAGAGACTTAGACAAATGGCCACATTTGAAAGATATCAGTCTGCATGAACTGGAAGGGGCTAAGGTAGAACTTCTTATTGGACAGGACAATCCCTCAGCGCTGGCACCAATTGACATTTGTAGAGGTGGTTTGGATGAACCCTATGCTTCAAGAACGATGTTAGGCTGGGTGGTAAATGGACCATTGGAGCATGGCAGCCCATGTGCAGTAACATCTCATTACGTCCAAGCTGTGCCAAACGATTGTGAGTTACAGTCTTTAGTGGAGAAATTTTGGAAAGTGGATTCATATGGACTGGATAGTGAAACTACTATGTCTGTGAATGATCAGAAAGTTGTCAACACGTGGACCAAAGTGTGGAAATTGATCATGGACATTACAAGATGGACATTCCATTCAAGTCTGATAATCCAGAATTGCCGAACAATTATGCTATTGCGGAAGCAAGATTGGAATCTTTGTATAGGAGACTTTCAAAGGACCAGAACTTGGCTGGAAGATATCAAGATGGAATAAAAGACCTATTGGAAAGGGGATATGCAGAAAAGGTGCCTGATAATGAAATCATTACAGGAGATAAGCCAGTATGGTACATTCCTCATCATGCAGTAGTTACTACTCAGAAACCTGACAAACTAAGAATTGTGTTTGATTGTTCTGCACAGTGTGCAGGTACAAGTATAAATACTGAAGTCCTACAGGGACCTGATCTTACCAACAAACTGATTGGTGTACTTCTGAGATTTCGGCAACACAAGGTGGCTTTTATGGGAGACATAGAAGCTATGTTTCATCAAGTGAAGGTTAGTGAGAAGCATAAGGATGCACTGAGATTTTGTGGTGGCTAATATGGACAGAACTAAACCACCTCAGGTGTATAGAATGACTGTACATTTGTTTGGTGGGGTATGGAGCCCAAGTTGTGCTTCGTATGCTGTTAGACGAACAGCGGAGGACAATGCTAATGACTTTGATCAGGAAACAGTTCAAACAGTGCAGGAAAATTTGTATGTAGATGACTGTTTAAAGTCAGTGCCAGCAGAAAATGAAGCCATTCGACTCATTAAGCAACTCTGTGAGCTACTGTCAAAGGGAGGCTTTAGGATGACAAAGTGGATCAGTAACAATAGAACTGTGTTGGATTCAATTCCTAGTGAAGAGAGAGCAAAAGAAATAAAGAACATTGACTTGGCTAGTGACTTTCTACCTCAAGAGCGAGCTCTTGGAGTAAAGTGGAATACAGAATATGACACACTCGGGTTTCGAACTACCAATAAATCTAAACCAGCTACCAAGAGAGGGTTAATGAGCATTATTGGTTCAGTGTACGATCCTTTTGGATTCATCTGCCCTGTTGTCCTCAAGGCAAAAATCATCTTTCAAAGTGAATGTCGATTACATAAACAATGGGATGACCCACTGGAACAAGACAATGCCCAGAAATGGTCTGCTTGGCTTGAGAAATTGCCATCGATTGAAACTTTTGTGGTTGACCGATGTTTAATCCCCTCAGGGTTTGAAAACTTCAAGTGTGATATGCATCATTTTGCTGATGCGTCATTGGTGGGATATGGCACAGTGTCCTATCTACGAATAGTCAACAATGAAGGACAGATACATTGCGCTTTTGTGATGGGAAAATCTCGACTTGCGCCTTTGAAGCAAATGACAGTACCTCGTCTTGAATTATCTGCTGCTTTGATGGCAGTTAGAATTGATCAAATGTTACGCAGAGAACTGAGGTTGGAAATTGGGGAGTCCATTTTCTGGTCTGATAGTATGACAGTTTTACATTATATCAAGAGTAAGTCCCTGCGGTACAAAACCTTCGTGGCAAATCGAGTGAGTGCTATTCATTCAGGTTCTTCACCGGACAGTTGGCGATATGTTAGATCAGACATGAATATAGCTGATGATGCATCCCGTGGCTTA